TGTCGGGGGGGGGGGCTCAGTCGACGTAAACATCCAGGAAGAATTTAGTCCAACAGCTCAAGGCCGTTGTAAGGGAGAGCCAGATTCTGCAATCAGTTGTTTTGGGAACAGAAGAGTCAGGCAGACGATAACAATATTCCATCAGCTTTAATATCTGCTGGTACCTCTCAAGGTGGTGAATCTAATCAGACAAACAATGTGGACAAATTCCGTTGAGTCGAGCTATCAGCTTCTCCAAGATCAATTCCATCTGGCCAGCAAAGTCCAGGAACCACAGCCGGCCCACGACCCTCAGCAGAACCACTTGCAGACTTAGTCCAGCTCGCTTAAGGCAAAAGTCTGAGTGCTGATAGAACGGCAATCCATCATATTGGTCAGGCAGTCAGGAAATGAACAGAATAGCCACCGACGCTGTTTTGTAGAACACCAGGAGACCACCAAGCCAATCTGTAGAATCCAGTGATCAGAATCCAAATATATATATCCAGAACAGAGAAGAACAGAGGTCCCACTTTTGACATGTCCTCCCATGGAAGAAAAAACTTTGTTCCAAAAATTTATTAAGAGACCAGCTAACCAAATCCATAAAAATAAAAATATCCATAATTTCTGGTTTTGGATGAAAACGTAGAGAAGGCTCCAGCAGCAAAGCAGGGAAGATAAGGAAGGGCAGGAGAGAAGGAAAAAGTGTCTTGCTCCTTCAAGAGTGGAACAAAAACAATACTTAGATGCATGTCTACAATTAATTAATGTTTGGAGTCAAACCTATTAAAGGTGGCCGCCACTGCTTCTCAGTCATTAGTGATGTTCGACACCACCAATTTCCTTTTCCAATACTGATACCAAGTAAAACTCAGGCTGGTATTGGGGATGCTGATCTGATACTTATATTTTGTGCAAATTCATTTAATGTGTCTGATTATTCTGAAAAATGTAGTGTATTTCAAGTCACAGCTTCATAAAGAACAAAGACATTGGCCATTTGTTTTTTTAACTTTATTTTGTTTTGAGCTCAGAAGCATGTATATTGATGAAGATGAGCAAAGACATCAGAGGAACCAGAGAACACAATCATACAAAATATGTAAAAAATAAGAAAAAATTGTTCCCAACAACATGTATGATTTAGATGAGATTTCAGTAGTTTAGTTTCTTTCCACTATGTTCCTGTTAATAATACAGATTACCTGAAATGACTGAAGTGTCAAAGTATCGATATTTGGATTTTAGTTTTGATACTAGTTCTGGTTTCAGTGGTATCAATATTTCAGTATCAATCCGAACATCACTATCAGTCATAGCAAACACAAAATGGCTACAACTCATTCAGTTCTTCAGATTTTGAGCTCACATTTGGTGTGGTAGTAGCTGAGAGCGATGCCCGACACATACTCTGAGAATTTAAAGATTGTCTGAGGATTTTCTAGGAGCACTTATATGGAAAGTTGCAAGTGATGAGCATCTCTTCATGAAATGTTAAGCCCTTTTGACTTGATCAGCTTTTCAAAACACATTCTCCAGAACAGCTTTTCTATTTGCCATGCAGAGGTGATGTCTAATCGCATGGAGGGGATGATGAACTCCTTCACGCCGCTGGCTCCGCCGCAGCAGCAGCTGGTCGCCATGGATCAGAACGGTTACAGCACAGACCCTTTCCAACAGGGGCTCACACCCCCACAGATGCCAGGGGACCATATGAACCCATATGGTGAGCATCCACCAATTCCCACCCCCATACAAACACACACACAAACCTACACACACATACACATCTGTCCCTTGATCATCCTCCTGGCTCCTGGTGGTGGGACATGTGCTCCGGCCACAGCTCCCTGATTTAAGTCGCTCTGGAAGAGGAACGAGCAGCTTCTCCTCCCACAAGAGATAACACAAGTGTTCTCATAAACTTCTGGGGTTTGACTCGCATTTCCAAATGTGTTTAATATGGTTTTCAACTCCTCGCCTCCGCTTTTAAGACATGCCATGTCACTGATGTTTCCTAATGTCGGTAAAGGAAAACATGTGGTTGGTGTGGACAGTTTGAGACAAACTGTGGTCCAAACAGCATGAGCTAATGTGTTAGAAC